TACCCGAAAGGAATATGTTTAACTTAGACTTCCTTATCATTTCACAAACAAATAACAAATAACATTGCCTCCCATCATTTCCATTTAAAGACATTTATTTAAAGGAAATGACTTCCTTTATTAATTTTAAGAAAATAATAATTATTTTAACAAAAAAATCTTGTGCCAACTACAAGAGTTTCTTTCAACGACAAAAAAGGGGGGAAAAGGAACACTCGGCTGAAGAAATTCGCATTCTATTAAGCTTAAATAAAACATACAACGTATTATTTTAGAACAATTCTGCTATATATGTAATGGCTATTTAGTCACAGATATTTCGAAACGAGAAAAAACTCATTACGAAATGTCATAGAAAAAGTGTACCGGAAAGCAGCTGGGTAGTGTTATAATGCCTTCCGTAGATAAACTTCATTCCCTGAAGATTGTTAACGCGCCAACCGTTTTGCCTCACTAAACTAACCATGTTCCAGTGACCGTAGGCGCTAATGGCTGCCGAGAGATCATAACTAGTGTGAAATGGGATGGGAAAATTTCCCAGACGTGAGCGACTTTCGTTGTTAGCTTACGAGTCATGACTGAAACAATATGCTGCCCGTGAGTTTTTGAGTTTTCACTACTCTCATACTCTTCGCGTAATTGAGGAAATGAGCAAGCCACGAGACCATAAGAGACACCTTCGCAATTTTGTTCTCTTGCTTTTGGCAAGACGCCATAGTTACGGTTTTCAATTGAGAATGAAAATCTGTTGTAAATTATTGAAAACTTCCAATATTATTATACAAAAAATAAATTCTAAAAATATTGAAAAATAATTATTACAATTATTTGAATATTTTATTATATCTCGAAGTATAATGATCCATAAATAATGAGTGTGCGGTACGCTGGACTTAAAGGCGTGAACGATTTTCGCCTCTTGAAGATTGAACAATGAAAACAAACAAACAAACAAACAAACGGAATCCCTCGTTAGTAATAGATGATTTACGACTCAAAAGTTGGAATAAATGTGAATGTAGAAATGCTTTCTTTACATTTGTGTGCAAAACAACTTATTTGCTTGATTTATTGAACAACTTGAACAACTTATTGAATTTCAATTTAAACCCATTGTTTGAAATAATTTATGTGTAACATAATATAACTAATAAAGTTTTATTATATAGTTAAATCTCCACACGCATTACTTGTACATACAAACACGCACTTACACATTATACATGCGTGTGCTAAACATGCATACATACATATGCTCACATACAATGATACAACACACCCATGCATACGACACATAACCCTACTCATTCTCATTTACCTTATCAGGGATGCCATCAGAGATATATTTCAAGACATACGATTGGCCCTCTCTCTTACGAGAAGCGAGGCGCAGCGACTCACCTGCGGCGGTAGGGCCTCCTGTCGCGCGGCCGGTCGCGCTCGCGGCCGTAGCCCGCCGCGGGCCGGTAGCTGTCGGGGCGCTCGCGGTGGCGGCCGTAGCCACTGTCCATGGGCCTCCTGGGGGCAGACCAGTCGCGCCGTCAGCGGACGCTCACAACCCCTGCCTTCCCACGCACCGCGTTGGACAAGCCTAAGACGCTACATCGTTTGCGGGTTGCATATTGAACTTAATTGATGCCTTCAGAATTATTACAGTACACCTCCTTGTGTTTTAGACAGACTAGATTTTAAATTAATTATTGATTAATTAATTAAATTAATTATTGATTAATTAAAAAAATAAGTATTGATTAATTAATTAAATTAATTATTGGTTAATTAATAAACCAAATTATTGATTAAATAAATAAATAATTTATAAGTAATTTACTTAAAATCTAGTCTGCCTAAACACAAGGTGTATTTACTAATGAAAAGACAGACAATTCTCAAAATAATTTTAAGTATATTAATGGATGCCTTATTTTACGTGGCGAGTCTCAGGCCCGCCATCTAGCGGAGAAGGAAGGTATTAAGTGGGCGACAAAACAGGCGATTTGAAGTTACCTCAATGACTTCTTTTAGGCTTGAGATTCTTTTACATACAGTGAATTTATCAACAAGGGACAGCCGACTTGACTTTTCCCTCCCAAAGAAAGCGTACAAAGGATTTATTCACCGCAACTGTGGACGAAATGTTTGGCTTTTCAACTCCAATTGATTAACAGCCTATTAGCTCGGAAAAGTCTTGTATTATCTCAATAAAGTTGTTTGTTCTAATAAAAAAAGGGGGATTCTCATAGCCAGAGAGAGAGCGCGACCAACATCAACCACAGACCAACGTGAAATTCTAGTTTATAATTTATAGTGAATAAATTAAGAAAACTGATTGTGTTGTGACAATATCCCTCGAACTATTAAGGATTGCGAGAAAGCCCGCAGAACTCCAACTGCACAGCTTCCTTCACTTATCGCTCAAGTTCGTTCATCTCTACGTTCACAGTAAGCAATGAGATACGGAAAAAGAATGAAATAGCACAATATTTAATGAAAACAGAATAATTTTTCATTAAATGAAATTAAAACAAAAAGTTTGTAATATCGAGGCAGTAGAAAATAAGTAGAATTTGTAATTATAAATTTATTTATTTATATAAATATTTAATTAATTTGTAATTAATGAAATAATTTCGTTTAATTAATTTTATGTTATTATTGTAATTCTATTTAATTACAGTACTATAATTTGCTTGTAGCCTCCCATCCATGATGAGGTAAACACTGGAAACATGTAATATATTTGGTTTATGAAATGCTATTTGTGGAAAGAATATTTCTAACGTTTCATACGTCAGTAAGCAAGAATTAAGTATGTAGATTGATAGTCACGACAAACGGAAGTACTTTGAACTCATCCGCGATTGTTGATTTCCGACGCTTTCTGTTCTACAGTGGTACGCCATTGGCGAGTCTTCAATCCCCCCCCGACACAAGAATGGTGTGTGAAGACAGGAAACAGATTTAGAAAGACCTATATAATGCCGCATTTTTAACACGAATAAAAATTCCATTTCAGTTACTCTCGCTGTTTGACAAAGGCGGTTGCTCCAGATGATTTCCGCCCCTCCTTCCCACTGGCCCTAGAAAGTGAAGGCGAATTATGAATGCTGGCATTCGCAGTCCCCTCAATTTGGGAGGTGCCAAATTCGACAAGTGGCGGCCTTTCTGTGGTTTTCTCGGTCTGCCGAGGCATTATCTCGGAATAGCAGCTGTAAAAAAGTACCAGCACTCGTTCGCGCTCTCTCTTCGACTTTCTTTCATGCGGCGGCCGGAAGTAATCAGACCAGCTGACGGATTTCATGCGTGTTGCTCCGGCTGCACCGCAGATGCTACTGGGATTGTGCTGTTTTATCTGTATCAGATTCGTAGAATGATGAAAGTAATGAAAACACCAAGACTCTGAAATATGTTGAATACGTTTGGAATTATTGTGCATTGTGTTTATGAACCTTGCAACATTATTATTGAAAGGAAACTTTTATTTTTTTAGTTGCGAGTCTAAACATATTTTTGGTGGCTAAACATACACATAGTATAAACAACATAAAATATATCTGATGAGGATTTACGGAACCAGAAATGTTCATGATCGCACTAATTGCAACTAATACATTAGGGTATGGGAGTTTTTTAGCATTCCAGTTTATGACACATTGTTTGAGTCAAACAAGTAAAGATTTGTGATCAGATCAGATTTTTAGGTCGCTTTTTAATTATAAGGTAATTTACCAACCACTGTGATAGTTTTACTTCGGTGTAACTGTAGGGAAATACAAGTAAAAACAACACGAACACAACACAAGCATACACATGCTCAAGGCGGAACTCGAAATCGCGATCCTTCCGTCCGAGATCGCCACGAAACTACTCCTTAGCATCTTGGCTTCTCGGACCGGCGATCAGATATTTGTTATGAGAATTAATAGGTCAGCACCTCAGCCTAACATCTCTTGAAAACTAGCATTATATAATATTTACTCCTAACTTTCTAAAAAGTAGATCAAAAAGAGGGGAGAAAACAATGTGTTTATGGACACGTAAGATTCCGCGGCTCGAATCCATAAATTCTTGGCTATCCAGGAGACGCCGCGTCGTTGGCTGAGAGGCCGACGTTTCGCCTCACATGTCGCAGGCTTCCTGCCCTGAGGAAGGCTGCCACATGTAGGGCGACACGTCGGCCTCTCAACCAACGACGCGGCGTCTCCGGGATAGCCAAGAATTAACGTGTTTATGGGATTTATGGCACCACAAAATCCATTTTAAGCACAGTTTCTTTGGTGCAGATGTTTTTACATTGAAAACAATATTTCGCAAAGCCATTGAAATATGTTGCTGCACAACAATGTCTCCTTACTCCTGCCTCCTCACTGCCTACACCTTTACGCTACCGACGAGAGTACCGCCGTGAGCTTAGGCCACTGGGTGGTAATTTCCCGCCGGACTTCTCTTCGTGGATTCCAGAGCATTCCGTAAAATACCGCCGTGAGCCTAGGCAACCTGACGGGTGTTAATTTCCCGCCGGACTTCTCTTCGTGAATTCCAGAGCATTCCGTAAAATACCGCCGTGAGCCTAGCCAACCTGACGGGCGTTAATTTCCCGCCGGACTTCTCGCCGTGGATTCCAGAGCATTCCGTAAAATACCGCCGTGAGCCTAGCCAACCTGACGGGCGGTAATTTCCCGCCGGACTTCTCTTCGTGGATTCCAGAGCATTCCGTAAAATGCTGCAGTGAGCCTAGCCAACCTGACGGGCAGTAATTTCCCGCCGGACTTCTCTTCGTGGATTCCAGAGCATTCCGTAAAATGCTGTAGTGAGCCTAGGCAACCTGACGGGCGGTAATTTCCCGCCGGACTTCTCTCCGTGGATTCCAGAGCATTCCGTAAAATGCTGCAGTGAGCCTAGGCAACCTGACGGGCGGTAATTTCCCGCCGGACTTCTCTCCGTGGATTCCAGAGCAACCCGAAGAGTCTCCTTCAAAGTGTAAAGTAAGAGGCTTACCTGTTGTAGGCGTCGCGGTCTCTGTCGCGGTCGCGGTCGCGCGGCGCGGGGGCGGCGTCTGGCCGCGGGCGCGCGTAGTCCTCCTCGCGGTTGCCGGAGCCCTTGGCCCGGTCGCGCTCCCTGCGCAAACACACGCCTTACACTTCCAAAGAACCTTGGCTCGAAGTGGAAGAAAAAAAAGAGCACATGTTAACAGAATTGAGCAGACGAAATGCGCATTCTCGCAGTGTTTATATGGTTTTGTAAATATATGTAATTAGTGTAGACTTATTTATTTACGCCAAAAACAGTTAAAAACTATGTATGACGCCCTATGAGGAGAAGTTAATTTGAAGTTACATTTATGTCCAGAAGCAAAACAAGGGGCCATCTCAGCATTTGTTCGAGGATCAGGGAATCTGGACGAAAACCTGATCGAGATGGGGGTCATTGATCCAGAAGCTGAAGTACAATACTTGTTACAGGTTCTTTACAATTATACAATCCAAATGATATATTGTATAATACATTAAATGTCATTGTTAAAATTAATATTACTTTCTTTCATGCTTGGTATAGTCTCTAATTGTATAGAAACAGTTGTGCAGCACAAAAGATTTTACTTGGGACTTAAACTTTTGTATTGAATTTAATCGTTTAATGTCATCTGGCAATGTATTGTAAAATAATGTACATGTATTTATGTGAATATTTTGTAGTTATTTAGACTAGTTATAACTTACATTCCAACTCTATTTAAAGCAAGGTAAGCGTCTGTCAACTTATATAAATATGTATAAAACGTAATACAAATGATACAACTTTAAGTTTCTGACGTTTGATTGGTTGTTTAGTATCACTTCAAGTAGTTCTTTATGTTATCCACTGTTGTGAAGTGGAGCTTATGTTTTGACTGCATTATAATCCAGTTTTTAAAAAATGTCCATATTTATTCTTTAAACCAGATGTCTAAAGATGGCTACAAGATAGTAACCAAAACTAAAAATGTAGTTTATTAACTACACAATTATGTTTAAGTGTAAATAAATCTAAATATCTAACATTTTAAGATAAACTGTTTTTATTAATAAGACTATAGACATTCATCGGCAGAGGTGAAAAATTAAAAAATAAAATAATTGGAATGATTTATTGCGATTTTGGGCACGATAACTGGTAAGTTCATTGCTTCCGTATTTGCATTTTTTTATCGCAGAAAATGGTGGTGATCTTCCCCTATTGAATGGCGAGATCCGGCACCGAACTACCCGTCCGCTTGCGAGGTTTTCCTCAATCTCCCACTAGCGAAGCACCAGCTCAGCTGGTGATAACAATTTTTCGACTGAGAGCGTATGCTTCTTTTTCTTGATCACCGTATAAGCATATTTATGTTCGGTTGTGTTTAGAAATGGTGTGACTTGAACAACTGCTACTTCTAAACCGCAAACAAACTCAGATTGTTTTACTTTTTGGTTTTGAAAACTACCTATTGAAATGGAAACCTTCTTAACAAAGTTGACTTCAGAATGAAAATAGATTGTTTTTTGTAGTTTTTGTGTCTGAGGAGTCACTTCATTGTACAAAGCCTGGATGCATTAGAAACGTCAAGAGTAATCTGATTCATTTCCAGGGTGATCTGAGAGAGAGAAACATTTTATTTGCTGATTGCAATCAGCAATGCGTTGTTCGAAGAGGAGGAATATTCCCACGTCGTGAAGATACAATATGAAAGTGCAGCGGTACTAAATAACGTTGCAAATTTATGATAGATTTGTATGCATTTTGCAGACCGATTTTTTCAGGTTGAAGTCATCTCGTGAGAGATCGACTGCGTGTTGCGTGCCGTGTCGTTTGCATGAAGGCAACGCTTCTTTTCACGTTGCTTAAGCGGGAAGAGAATGTTGCTATGCGGATGAGATTGCAACACACAAGAAATGAAAGGTAAGAATGTATGTGGGATACACTTTGGCGAATTTAAGGGGAAACACTACATTTTTACTGCTGAATCGGATCATGAAAATAACCGAAAGAAATTACAGAATATAAAATATTCACATTTCACTGAAATTACTTTATTCTGTACAGATGAAACCACTATAAACTTGCTTC